AGAGAGATCACAGGCCCCTGCCTGGGCATCTAGAGAGAGGGCTCTGGACAACGTGAGCCTTTGGTGCGAGTGAGTTCTGGCTGGGCCCATTCTTCCTCCGGTCATTACCTATTCTAGAAAGGGCAAAAGGGTGGAGGCTGCCCTGGCTAGGTAGGCTTTCTGTATGCAGAAATTTCACTCAGCCATTTCTCTAGGTGATTCTTTTACAATGGGATGATGAAACTGGAGGTGGCCCTTGGTCTGCTGGTAGTATCCACGGGCCCTGGACACATCACTCTTGTGTTGTGAGCCTTGTATTTATAGACGAAGGCAGCTGCTCTTGCTTATTCATTCTGCCCCACAGCTCCTACCACCTTCAGCTGTACCAAGCCTCTAGAGGAGCCTAGCTTAATGGAAATGTGTTGGATACGTATACATACATGCGCGTGCACACACACACACCCCAGAATTTAGAATCATATGGCTTCTACATATTACAAAAGCAAGAAGAAACAGGTGAAATTGATTTGTCACATGTTTTATATTGCTGAGATATTTAAAATATAAGTTGACTTGCAATCAATGTTTTTTTAAAAAAAAAACATTTTAAAAGTATTTAATACATTTAATACATTTTAAAATTAACTCTTCAAGGTCTAGTTTGCATTTTACTTTTGTAGCCAGTCTTGGTGGGACCAGCCACATTTCAGAGGTGGGGTTGCACTGTGGTTAGTGGTAGCAACGCTGAGTAGTGCAGGACTGACGTTCCTTCATGTTTCAGCATGCCTCAATACTCCCTATTGCTTCTAAAACAAAAGACTCCCCGAAAGGCTGGAGCCTGACTCCTCAGATACTAAGCACGTGTTCCCCAGCACATGTTCCCCAGCACATGAGGGAACACTATGGAACCAAAAAATAGAAAGCAACTATGGACACTGTCACAGAGCCTCCTGGGAGGAGAAACTCACTAAATGAACACAGCAGGGTACAAGCAGTATATGTGGAACCCTGTGCCACACACACATGGTTGTGTATGCTTAAACCTTCCATCCGAGTCGTTCTGAAAAGTTGAGAATATCAGTAGAGACAACTAGGTGAATTTAGGGAGAGGGAGGAGAGAGAGAGACCAGCATGACTCATAATACACGTGTTGACTTTGTCTTTGCACTTTGTGAGTTTTGAGTACCAGATGCGATGGGTATTGAAAAAACAATTCCTTGATTACTGCCCTGCCCATGGCTCCCATGCCCACCTGCCCCCATTTCCCAGAGCTGTGTGTCAGGAGCAGATGCAGGTCAAATCTGTGTTGTTGATGGTCAACCACAACAAGAAGAGGGAAGCTCAGGACTGGCCCAGGGAAGACGGGCATATCCAGTGACCCTAAAGGGCTTTTTTGTTTCTGGAGAGAAGGTACTTTCAGCTCTCATTCCTGTTCTCTCTTTACCCCATCTCTGGGATCCCCATGACACCTGCTTGCAAGAGCTTCATTCTCTCCCATAAGAACCTTTGTGGGTGGGTGGCAAGAAGGGTCACCGTCCTATCTTCCCAGCATCCTTTCCAGAGACATCATGCTTCCCTGCCAGAGGCCCTCTCGGTCCTTGCTCCTCACATGTGCATGGCACACAGAGCAATCGAACTTTGAAAGAGAACAGAGCAGAGCATATCGGCATCTGTGCGTCCACCTGTGTGTGTCTGCGGCTCACTCTGTGCCTCAGTCGTTCCCGTCACTACATGTCCTCGGGATACAGCTGGGATGAGAAGCTGTCCCGTGACACTTACAATCCAGCAGGAGCAGCACAGGTCAAGTGAAAAACAATCCACTTCTGTCTGTCACAGAGCATGGAGGGAGAGCATGAGAAATTGAAGCACATGACCATTGCTCTCAAGAGCGGGCATTTCAGCTGAGTCAAGTCTGTAGGATGCGACGGGTGAGGCTCTCCTCGACGAGGCTTCCAAATGTTAGCTTGCTCTGTCTTTGAACAAGACACATACCCTCTACGTTTTTTGTTTGTTTTTCATTGTAGCCTTGGCTATGTTGGAACTTGCTTTGTAGACCAGGCTGGCCTCAAACTCCACCCTGCCTCTGCCTCCTAAGTGCTGGGATCAAAGGTGTGTGTTACCATGCCCAGCCCCCTTTTTTAAAAATTTTGGAAACAAATTTTAAAACAATAAAACATAGAATTAATCGAAATAAAAGATTTTAAATAGCAAAAATAATATACAAAAATGTCTATAGATGTTAAACCCATATGACATTAAGGTAACATTTTTTCCCCATTTGCTAGATTGGCTTTTAAATGCCATCGCTTGGTGTTTATATAAAAAGACACAGGAGCCTGGTGAGTGGTGGGTGGCTGGAGTCCCACTGTTCCAAAAGCAGAGGTTTGAACCAAGACACTTGATACCAACTCAGACAGTAATCTCCTGTCTCAAAAAAGAAATGTATGAATTATTTAAATGACATAGAATTTGCATAAAACCTAAGTATATCCTCTTTCAATGTCTCTCTAGCTTACGTACAATACCTAATGCGGTATGACTATTATATAAATGATATATATTGTTAGGAAATAATAAAGGCAGGGAAAAAATAGTACACATTCAGAACAGATTTCTTTTCAAATATTTTCTAGCCATGGTTGAATCCATAGAAGCAGAGGCAGGGTATAGAGGACACGGACACACACATGTGCACACACACACATCACATAATATACATGTGTACACACTCATGTGTACACACAATTTGAGATACCCAGATCCTCAGAGCCATGCCTCTCTCTCTGGATTCTGTGTGTCAATGGGTACAGAAGGCTTGCCCTTCATCCTCTGCCTGCCAGACCTACAAGTCCTACAGATCAAAGACCTGGGTATCTGGAGCAAAGCTGATACTATCTGTTTATAAAGTACTGGAGACTTATACATGAAAATGAACCCAGGCATAGTGGTGCATGCCTTTAATCCCAGCACTTGCAAAGCAGGCAGAGGTAGGCAGTTCTCTGTGAGTTCAAGTCCAGCCTGGCCTACATAGTGAGTTCCAAAACAACCAGAGCTACATAATGAGATCCTGTCTCAAAAAGAAAGGAAGGAAGGAAGAAAGGGAGGGAGGGAGGGAGGGAGGGAGGGAAGGAGGGAGGGAGGGAGGAAGAAAAAATGAAAGTATCCATGTAGTCTCAGCTCATACAAATCTACCCCCCCCCCCCATAGCCAGGCCTGGGACAGAGGTAGGACTGGCAATATTTCCTCAAAGCCAAACAGATTGAAGCCCTGGGGGCCACATTTCTGACTTACCACATTAAAGAAAGCACCCAGAAGGACACTGTGGCCTACTCTGTGAAAGGCTCCTTCCCCTGCATGGATTGGCTGCAGGCCAGTACAGAAACTGGCTCCTTGCGGGAGGCCTGCATCCAGGCAACCTGCAGGGATGAGATGGAGGGGCTGAACTGGTCGCCTCAGCAGGTCTGGAAAGCTAGCTCTTAATGCAAGCCATAAATTCACAGAAGGAAAGTTAGTTGCCAAGACAGGGCATTAACACACTTCATCCCCACTGTGACCTCCCAAGGGATGGCCCACAGGGCGTGAGACCTGCAAAATCAGTCCCTGCCCAAGGATGAGAAGTCAGAACTAGGAACTAAGGCTGAGGATCTCCTCTCTCTCCCTCTCCCTGTCCCTCTCCCTGTCCCTGTCCCTGTCCCTCTCTCTCTCCCTCTCTCTCTCCCTCTCCCTCTCCCTGTCCCTGTCCCTGTCCCTGTCCCTCTCCCTGTCCCTCTCCCTGTCCCTCTCCCTCTCCCTGTCCCTCTCCCTGCCCCCCCCCCCCCCGTGCCCCCCCCCCCCCCCCCCCCCCCTCCCCCTCCCCCTCCCTCCCTCCTTCTCTGGTCTGTGAAATCTTGAACTCTATGTATAGTCTCACCTACCTCCTGAAGGGCTGAGGTTGCATTAATGGACCACCATGCCCAACTTATACAGTGCAAATACCCCACCTGCTGAGTCCAAGAGACTATGTTTTTAAGAGCTCCCTGGGTGATGATGCACTAAGCTTAGCAACTGCTGGCCAGACGCCTGCCTTCCGAGGTGTCCCTTCCGAGGTGTGCCGATATCCTCCAGTGGTATGGATGAGAAGCAGGAGAGGTGAGAAAGAACTACATAGCAGGGGTCCCAGAAAGGCACACACAACAGTGTTTCCAGTGGAGGAGCATTGGTCAGGCACACTCTTTGCTGGTGAGAGGTCCAAAAACCTCAGGGAATAAAACATTTTCAATTCTCAGGGAAGCAAACTGGGCTCCTCGGAGGGAGCCACTGGCAATGAGCCCTTTAGTAAGTGCCAGCCCTGACTCAGGGTGGATGACTGTGGGGCTGAGTCAGCTTCCGGAACACCTAGCTGGAGGAGATACTGAGGCCAGAACTGAGCTGGGCTCTGAAACTCTTCAAGGTCTCACCAATTATAACAGAACTAACATAGCAGCCAGTCGTGAGTCTACTAATGTCACTGTCTTGCTCCCTACCAGGAATAACAGAGGTTACCTCACTCTTCTGGAAAAGCCCCCAGCCCTGTCTATAAAGGGAGCTTCAGAGCCTCTCTGAGGGTCCCCCATTTTGATGAATGGTTGACCCTTGCATGCTGGTAATTTCTACAGAACAAAAGCTCTTTGCTTTTACATGTTATTTGAGTCTGGGGTCTTCCTTCAGCGATACTTCGACCCTAATATTGGCAGCTGATGAACTAAAAAGGGCCACATGTGTGGCCAGCTGTTGAGTGTGTGCAAGGGTGGCCCCTGGCTCCTCTTACTCCTCGGGTATCCAAATCATCCTGGAAGCACTGGTCTATCCCTGACCCTCAAATTCTCCTCGACTCTGAGCTGGGGAGGAGGCCAAAGAGAAAGCAGAAAACAACACTGGCGTCTATCCCAGCTGCCCTCCCAAACATGGCTCCTGGTAGGAAGGGGGAGGGCAGGGACCCTGCTGGAACTCAGCTGTGGGTGAGGCCAGGTGCACGGAGCCAGCCCCAGGCAGCAGCAAGCTGACAAACAGTCTGTTCCTGACTCACCAGAGAGAGCGGCAGGCTGGCACTCCCCCATGACCCAGAGGCTGTGCACGGTGAGGTAGGCTTGTTTTCTTTTCCTCCAGTTACACACACTCCTCCAAGGGGTCACTGCCTCACTGAGGAGGTTTCTCCTTGAGTTTCTAGGCAAACACTGGGACCTTGGGGCCTTTCCCTATAAGACCCCAGGGAACCAAAACTTTTCCTCCTCCCCTCTCCTCTTCAACCATTCCACTACTCCTATCTCCCCACCCCCACCCCATCCCCATACACATATACTCAGCTCCAGTCTCGGTAGACAGGAGGGCTGAGGAAAAAAGGGAGGGAGAGAGGGAAAGAGAGGGGCCAACAGGAGGAGTGGTGAAGGGAGGGAGGGAGGGAGGGGCCTGCACTAACTCTGTAATCAAACCCACTTCCTACTTGGCCCTGTATCTGATTTCTCCCTAGGGCCCATTCCAGGAAAGCTTCTTGGTCAAGCCCAGTTCAGCGTTTCCTTGCAAGCCCCCTCATCCCTCCAGGCTTCTCCTGCCAGAGGACAGTAAGCCAAGAGCGTGGACTAACCAGACTTTAGAGTTGGTTCTCAAACACACTGGTGGGGGAAGAACTGAAAGAATAAACATCTCTCAGGATCCAAATCTGGCCTTCAAGATGATGAGAGCCGCCTCCTCCAGCAGAGCTTTCTCTCACAGGCTGTGGCGCCAGCCACTGATACTCCACAGCACGTTTGCCGTCCATTCTTTGCAGTAGCCTGTCCTATACAGTCGCTTGGGAGACAAGGGATCATGGGTGATAGACTTTGCAGTCAGACTTTCCAGATTCAATCCCACATCTCCCTTTTACAAAGCAAGTGAATGGGCAAGACCGACTCATCCTCCACTTCTTCCAGTGTAAGTTCAGGGTTTAAAAAAAAAAAGGCATCAGAGCTTGCGTGTAAGGACTTTGGCTTTCAATGTGGTATCAATCATAGGGCTCTCAATATTTCCATATCTCATTTCCCAGAGGAGTCTGCTTCTCCTTGCCTGTTGAAGTTGGGTGTGGCAATCGGACATCCTCTGGCTGGTGAAGCATGAAGCAGCAGGTATCACTTCCCAGCAGATGCAGGACCCTCCGCCCTCTCTTCCCCTGTTGCAGCGGTTTCTGTGAGCTAGGTTGAGTGGGTGGGTGTAGGCCAGAAGAGCAGGTGTCAGCAGATTCTTTACTAAAGAGCAAAACCCTGAGAAATGGGTGTTTGTTGTCTCCAGCCACTGAGATTTGGGGACTGTTTGTTGTCACAGCATTACCTAGCCCATCCTGACTAAAATAGGACATCCTTCATACATGGCTCTCAGAATAGCTATGTAAGTCCAACTGATTTATTTGTTTTTGTTTTATGTGTATGGGTACTTTTGCCTGCGTATGTGTCTGTGCATCCTGTATGTTTTCTGGTGCCTTCAGATGCCTGAAAAGGGGGTTGGATCTCCTGAAACTGGAACATGCAAACCCAATAAATATGTCATAACTGAATATATACATGCACGTATATGCATACACACACATTGCTAAGGATAGATATGTAGTCATGGGGCTACAGGGTGGAACCTTCCTCTCTTCAGTGTCTTTATTCAGCTGCTGTGAGGGCTACACTAGTTTCTCTTGTTCCCGGCTCTGACGCTGACATAGCTTCATAAACTGAAGGCAGTTGGTTGTCAAGCCCCAGGCTCTTGGGAGGCTGGGTCACACTAAGATTCTGAGGTACCCAACAACTGCGGGACTGTACTGTCTCCTTCAGTCTTCATGATGCAGCAAGGGCAGGTCACTCCTTCAGTAGTAAGAAATCGAAACTCAAGCTTTCCAGAGTACTACCCTGCTAGATGAGGGACTCATACTTGAATCCAGCCAGGCGTGGTTCCTAATCTCAGGCTCTGTCTATGATGTTGTGCAGCTTGTCACGTTCACAGCAAAGATCCACTTAGAGATCAAGGTCCTGGGTTACTTAAACACTGTCCACCTACGTCCCTATATACTGACAGGGATCGGTGACAGGGAAACACTTCACTCTGTGCCCAAACAGAGAGAGCGTGTATGCCGAGGGCAGTGGTGAAGAGAGCCTTCGCCCTGATGTCCATACCAGAGACCGACAGATAGCCCTTATTTGCAAGTTTGGTTAAATTTTAACTCAGCACCCAAGGGTGCTATCCAATACAAGCAAAACAAAGTCCTTGCCTTTAGCTCAGTCACTGGGAACCAAGCAAGAAGAACCTGGCTAAACAGCACACTGCTATCCTCAACTACCAAGAAGTCCTGATACCTCAGTCTTTGCTATGACAGCATTCCACAAGGGACCAAGAACCCTGGTGGCCTGGAGGAGCCACCAAGGGTTCATCCTCTGGTCAACCTGAAGAGTCATACCTTGCAGGCCTTGGTTTCTACTCATGCTGCTGTGACACACGTATCAGAAAGTAATTTTGCATCTTCATGCAGCCACATGGATGCATCAACTCCCTGTCTCACCAGCTGGGACCAAAGACTCCACATCACATTAGCCCTTGAGGAGACAAGGTCCTTACACTCTTGGTTGATCTGATGTGCAAGCTACCTCTGATGGGGCACCTATGAAGTCCTATTTTCTGTGTCCACCATAGCATCTCCATTTCTGTCCTTTGTCCTATGGCTGGTATCCAAACACATGCCAATGCTGTGGATACACTGAGGCGATATTAGGGGAGAGAAGCTCTGATAAACCTCCTGTGACTCCAGACGACAGCTTTGATGACTAGCTACATATGTTGACAGCACAAGGCCATGCACATGCACATGGACGACCCCTTGCTTTTCCAAAAAGGCCATACCCATTAATGACCAATCTGGAGACCTATTCCCTTATTTTCCTAATCTTCAAGGCTCAGCATGATATCTTTTGGGGGGTGAGGGATGTTTTGTTTTGTTTTGTTTTGTTTTGTTTTGTTTTGTTTCCAAGACAGGCTTTCTCTGTGTAGCCCTGGCTGTCCTGGAACTCACTCTGTAGACCAAGTTGGCTCTGAACTCAGAGAACAGCCTGCCTCTGCCTCCTAAGTGCTGGATGAAAGTCATGCACCACCACACCCAGCTTGGCGTGATCTTAAAACTCTCAAGAAGTAGAAGATGATGCCACCAATAAACCTCAGCCATTAGACTCCATGAGGAGTTTGAAGGAGTATTCCTCTTAAATAATTAACAGTACAATAAACATAATGGTACGAAAGGCTCCGATGAAGGGCCAGACCGAAAGTAAACCAGACAGGGATGGCCACAGAACTAATCCAGAAGTACAACCACGTTCATTGGATTTACCAATCAAGTTGTGGTGGGTTCACTGATCAAGCTGTGGTACCATCTTCAATGTGATATGGTTCTGCTGGTTCCCTGGAGACTCTGGGGCTCAGATGTGCTGCCTTCCCTCTCTTATAAAACACAGACCTTTTGCTTGTGTTGCCCTCTGTCTAGAAGGATCTGCTTAACCCCATTCATTCCTACAGAAGCTAATGCAGAGCTTCTAACCAACCTGTAGGTAACCTTCCTCAGGGAAGCCCCGTGCTTGCTGCACTTTGTTGGAGGTAGTTCTTCTTAACTTCACGGACCACTTCAAGTTGTTCCTAAACAGAGAATGTATTTTACAAGCCTCAAACCTACCTCATAGTGTTCAGCAAATGTTTGTCAGTTGAATGACCCAGTGGCTGGATGAAATACCTTTGCAATGATAAACTGCTTTATTCTGGGCCTCAAAGCATCCCTCCTGTAGGAAAGACTAAATCTACGTTTTCAGATGAAAGTCAGCTACAGGCTCCCTGACACCTGCTCCCTCGTGTTCAATATGTCAAGTTTCAGTCCAGAGAAGTCCTCCTTAGGTTTTAATCCATCCACAATTTTCTGAAGAGCTTGGTAAATAAAATGCAGATTCCAGCCGGGCGTCGGTGGCGCACGCCTTTAATCCCAGCACTTGGGAGGCAGAGGCAGGTGGATTTCTGAGTTTGAGGCCAGCCTGGTCTACAGAGTGAGTTCCAGGACAGCCAGAGCTACACAGAGAAACCCTGTCTCGAAAAACCAAAAAAAAAAAACAAAAAAAAAAAAAAAAAAAAAAAAAACCAAAATAAAATGCAGATTCCTGCTTCCCTAGAGTGAGGCCCAAGATCTACGCTTCTAGCAAATTCTCAGGTAACACCCATTTGCCACTGGGGCAAGAACTTCCCTTCAGCTTAACTACCTAACAGGTGTCTAACAAAAAGAAAATGTCACATTAGTTGGGTATGTGGTCACAGCTGGACCCTTTGGGACTGTAGCAAAGACAGGTGGACAGTAGTGCTGGTTTTCCTGATGAGAGAAACACGATCAAAAAGACTAAAGTGACTTTTCCAATGAATCCATCCTCTGTCCGGAGTCCAGAGGCATCTTGATTCTACTGCGCTGCATGCTGGGAGATTCAGAGGGGAAGGCTCCAGGTCTTATTCTCAGAAAGGTGCGGAGTGCAAAGTATGTGCGACCAGGGTCTATAAACACAAACCTGAATGGGAGAGGAGCCCGGAGTCCAGAGGTGGGGGAGCGCGTGGCAGCCATCGCTCACAGAAAACCCGGCCGCATCTTTCTTTTCTACCTATGGTCCAATTAGACTGGAGATGGGGTCGTCTTTGATCGGCCTAGTCCTTTTAAAAGAAAGCAGGGAAAACAGTGGCGTTAGGATTTTTCTTTAAAGCCCTGGACCTCTTCAGTGGAAAGTGGCTGCCCTTCCGACCTGTTGATGTAATTGCCGTAATTGAAGATTCCAGGCCCCATGTGGGTGGACAGGGCCCCATTCATCCATCAGGTCAGCGAAGTGTAAACCTGCTGAGTCCTTCAGATGCCCTGGCCGCAGCCTCCCCCTCCTGCGCCCTCCTGTGCCCTCCTGCCCCCTCCTGCCCCCTCCTGCCCCCTCCTGCCCCCACAGACTAGGCTCCCCACAATGCCAGAGCAGCCAGGCCTGGGCTGGTCCCTCTCTAGATGTGGGAACAGGGCCTAATTAAGGGGTTTGTTCTCATCTCCATGGGGCCATCTTAACGCCTCCTGACAGTAATGAGAGACATACACGTGTGCAGCTTGGGGGAGGGAGGGGTGGCCTCCCTGCCACCTTAGCACCCTGTTAAACAGCAAGCCTAACACACACACACACACACAGCTTCACCATTAAACCTTTATAGCTACCAGGAGTCCTCTCCTGTTCTGAAAGAGGAAGGAACGGAGGGAGAAGAAATAACTTGCCCAGGGGGCACATAGCAAGTCACTGTCACTGGGCCCCAGGTGTCCTGCTGCACCTCACAGCACTGACTTCCTCATGGAGGGAGGAGCTCTCCATTGCAGTCCCAGGGGAGCTTGTATGTGTGTGTGTGTGGGGGGGGGGGGGGTAGACAGGCTCATTCTCTAGAACCACCTTGTCAGAGGGCCATGCCCATGGCGAAGCAGAATGGTCCTCCATGGGCTGGTTCTGCAAGGGCACATGACAAAGCTAACCTCAGAATGGGCCACTCCCTGCAGCAGTGAGGCCACGCCTCATCCTCCTGTACCTTCTTTGCATCTCTGTGTGGCTTCCTACTCCTTTCCCATTACTTGAAACCCCTTATTCTGACAGCCCTCCAGCACCTAAACAAATAGGGTTCTTTGTTTTGTTTTTTAGCTCTTGGCTTGTCCACTACGAAGCTCCAGCCCATACCACACCTCGTACAGTTTGCTCTCAGTTAACAGACATCCAGTATGATAAAAGTAAGCTAATGCTCGCGCCAACCAATTCTAAGTCACATTAGTTCATCGTTCTGAACACAGTTCTTACAGAGAGGGAGGCCCTAGGGAAGTCCTGCGTTCCAGGTAGGGTAGACATGCTGAAATTAACATGGGCTAAATGTCAGATCACCTGGTCTGCTAAAGACAGTGAGTCGAGTACTATACCACACTCCTGTGGCTCCAGACACCCAGAATGCCCTCCACAACTCCGTAAAGAGCACGCTTGAGCTCCCTAGCACATACCAGAGGAAGACTGGAATGAATTTTTCCCAGCGCTCTACCCTTGAGAGTGGATTGCATTTACCAGGAGACCCCTTTCCCAACCCTCTGGGAAGCAGTCATTGCCCT